GGAATACCTTGCATAATATGCTTGCATTATACCAGGGACAGCTGAATGTTGGTATATTGACAGACACATCGACAGACATTGTCATAACCAACATCCGGAACGCGTGATCCTAGTTTCCGCTCTGTCTGAGTTGGCCGTATACAAGCAGACAGGTTGGGTCAAATTACGTCAACAGGCAACAGCTTGAGGCGGAATGGAGTTGTGAGTGTACTTGAGAGGTAAGTGTGTGAATCATGTGTTTCCTTGTTGTATTGCAAGTAACAGTAAAGCTGTACTGGTAATAGTGGTGTGTTTATGTTTTCGACTGACAAGTCATGTATGTGTACGAGTATATTAATATGGCCCTCATGGGGGTTACAGCACAGTTTCAACGTTGACGAATAAAGCGTGTCTGCAACACGATATAGCAGGTTGTATGGTGACACACCTACAGACAGTATCGGGGCGAGTCGAGAATCCAGTACACACTTATTGGTCTCTGGCTGACAAAAGGCAGTTAAACGAATAGTCTATATCACAGTCTCGGAACCATATTGTTTTTCTTTCCGTCAAATCCTGTCTGTGACCCAGATTTACGTTGTAAGTTTAGATTTTCCTCTTCTCCTATCTCCCTGGGGCTCTTTTCAATTTAGAGGTAGTTGTTTCCAACAATTACATATTTCAGAGGACAGGATAATTAGATATTTTATTGCGGCACCTTAGGTAATTGGGCTTCATGTGGAATGCACCGGGAGTGAGTTAATGGCACACTGTGGGAGAGGACTGGGAGAGGGTTCGTGGAGGAGAGGGGTGTGAGAGGTGTGTGTGTGTAGAAAAGCATCTGCCATAGCTCTTATATAACTGACGCGTAAAGAGTTAACAGGCGTGATCCGCTGGTCACATGTCATCGTATCCCAAATACGTAGATCGGTGCTTACGCTGTTGATCACTGGATTGTCTGGTGTTATGTAAAGACCGCCGTCATATAGCTGGAATATTGCTGGGGTAAAAGACAACCAACCAAACAATCTTACATAATCTTACATAACTTGTACTCAAATACTCAAGCACTCGCCGAAGGAATGTTATATTGTCAGTCAATGAAAATCATTGTATGATCAATTGACATGTATTTGACTGTTGTTCATATTTGAATCCTCTGAACTCAGCTTCTCTTCTGTGATGAGAAAAGGAACCACCGACCTCGATTCATAAATGTGGAACAAAATTGAAACATTAAAAAGCGTTCCGAGTAAGTACCATAATAACAAAACCATTCAGCCAGATCCATGTAGGAATGCAATTCGTTTTATGGTAATTTATTATTTTATTTAATTTATGGAAATTCAATGGATGTGAACCCTGATATAAAGTGACTTTGACCCTGTCTCGCAACCTGGATAGGCTTAGTTCATACTGCGTACTGTCTTAATCGACAAAAGGCGGATTCTTGATCACCTGATATTCAGATCGTTTGCTCAACAAATGATTCTACTGAAGCGTCCATCCCAGACAGAACGATACATCTGATTTCTGTATCTCTAAAATGAACAAAAACGATCAGTTTCGAATGGAGACGAAGACGCGTCCGTGCAATCAGACTATTGCGGATTATTCATACACCGGGTCGTTTCTGAGCGTCTTGCCATCTGTTTTAACGGTTAAAGGTTATGTCAGATTATATGTTTATATTTTGGTTTGGAAAAAATGCATTTGAACTGTGAATTTATCCGTGATCGTTATTGAAACACCATTCCAAACGCAGACATATATGACTACCTTATGTGAGTGAGTGAGTGAGTGAGTGAGTATGGTTTTACGCCACTTTTAGCAATATTCCAAATATCACGTGGGGTGGGGGGTGGGAGGGGGGACACCAGAAAATGGGCTTCACACATTGTACCCATGTTTGGGCTACCTTATGTGTGGACAGTTGATACGTTTATAGTTGCATGTAATAGAACTAAAATATTTATTGTCAATATCATAATATTCTTCTATCTTTCAGTGAGAGAGTGAGTGAGTGAGTGAGTGAGAAGCTTAGATGAAGAGAAGTTCTGAGACATTTACCACTTTGGTGAAACCGTTAGCAGATATGACGCTGAATATCCTGGGACATTATCGAGCCAATCCAGGATTCGATTCCATGATCCTAAGTTTCTGGCGATACCATAGGTTCAGCTTACCTGTCCTGTGGTTAGATGTGTTTGACATACGGTAAAGTAAATAGAGCGTGTTCAGTAAACAGACACAAGAACGTTAGAAGCCATTAATTGAAGCATGATCATACGAAAAAGGCTTCCATTGTACTATGAAACAGTGTATAAGTGTATAAAACATGTTCTCTTTTAGAAATTCGAAGTGTCACTTTATCAAACATGATATTCACTGTTATACATATATAACGTCAAACCAGTTGCCGTATGTCACGATTTGCAATTCAATGTTAGCATAACATAAATCAGCTGCGAGGATTCACACAATGAGCACACAGATTTTTACGTGTATGCCTCCATAAACACAAACAATATTGGAATACATTGTGTTTCTAAGTCTCAGTGGGGTGCTTCCGATACAATACGCACGTTACCTTCTTAAAAAAGTCATTTGAAATCGTCCAGCTTGGTAATCCAGTACAGCTCAGGCAATCATAAAACTACCCTTCTTAACATTGTGGCAATTATAAAACTATCCTTCTTGACATTGTCGCAATTATAAAACTATCCTTCTTGACATTTGCAATTATAAAACTATCCTTCTTGACTTTGTGGCAGTTATAAAACTATCCTTATTAACATTGTGGCAATTATAAAACCATCTTTCTTGACATTTGCAATTATAAAACTAGCCTTCTTGACATTCGGGCAATTATAAAACTATCCTTCTTGGCATTGTGGCAATTATAAAACTATTCTTCTTGACTTTGTGGCAGTTATAAAACTATCCTTCTTGACATTGGCAATTATAAAACTATCCTTCTTGACATTGTGGCAATAACAAAACTATCCTTCTTGACATTGTGGCAATTATAAAACTATCCTTCTTGACATGGTCTCAGTGGACATTGTATTAAAATGGCTGGTTTTGATCTGTTTTCATTCAGTTTGTGGGGCGTATTTGTTTCCGTGTCTATCGTCACTATATACAAACAATAATCAATACAACAGGTTGTATTATGCCTTTTGTACAGACCCATTCAAATGCAAATTACACTTGTCATATAGTCGACTAAGCTTTCGATAATTTTTTCACGACATGTGATATGGCGCAATATCAGTATCGCCGGTTTGAATGAATAATTCACTGACTAATCAACATTAAACGATCAGTAGTTTGTTCTTTTAGTTCAACAAAATCACACGTCAATTGTTCGTAAAACAGCATATCTTGGGTGTTAGATAATTCAGGGAAGGTGAGCTACAGATTATTGTCTGGCTTATACAAACTATGGTTATCACAGCAGCAGGTTATCAGTGTCTAGGATTGGGTACCAATACATCAATACGATACATTTTAAAAAGCCTTTTTGTCCACTACGGTCAACCATGACAGATATACAATACATAGACTCTACCTACACTGCCTTCGTATAAATATATGTCTATAGGTATATTCATGCTCATAGTGTTGTGCTATAATTATGTTCAGTGAAAGGGAACTTGAAGTGACAGCTCTCGGCCACTACACACCTTAAATGATGTCAGCGGGGCGTTTGGAAACATACAAGGCAATAGCATACACCGTACTTCATAGAAAGACATTTATGAAATCCCTTTTGATAAACAAGCACAAGAAATATCTTCTGAAAGACCAGCTCATTGAACGAGTTCCATTCTGATATAAGCACGTGTTTATGAAATTTTCATATGGTGAAGACACCAGACGTTAAGGTGAGTAGTTAGCATACATCTCAACATGAATTGAACATTGACAATTTTTAATTAAATGTCTTCCCTCGTATCATGAAGAAACTATACACTAGATTCAGACACAGTCCACACACTAGGCACCAATATTATTGTAAGACACTATATACTACATAACTACACCATGTTCTCTTTCTCTTTAACATATGGGGGTGCTCGTCACGCCGAAGAGCCGAGTTCTATTCCCCACATGGGTACAATGTGTGAAGTTCATTTCTGGTGTCCGTGGAATATTGCTTAACTCCACTTAACTGACTCAATCTTTAACTTATGCAACGACCATGCATACTACTTCAAGGTTCTTGTTAAACATGATATCTCAGTGGGCTATGTCTAAGACCATACCATTCAAGGTATGCTTATCATTGCCTGGGGTTTAATATATTTGTTGTGTTTGCCTGAATTTGCCAGCAATTGACAACTGACGACTGATACACGCCAGTATCTAGACGGATGATGTAAATCCTCCTGGACTTCATGCCGGTCCCAATGGTCTACAGTGTCACGTTTGTTGTTTAACGCGTAGTCAGTCGTACAGACCCTGAAGCAAATATATCCAAGAAAGCCCACACAAGTCTAGAAAACGTGGCAAGTCTAGATTTCCTCAGCTGAAAATGAAGAAAGTCTCAGGGCTCCTTTTCATTATATATATTTTTTTTCTACTATGAACTTTTTTCAGTAAAATATGTTCATTTAAGAGACTAGTTGTTAGTCTATTTAACGCCGCACTCAGTAATATAACATGGTAGCCGTCTGTAAATAATTACGTCTGGACCATACAATCCACTGATCAACATCATGAGCATCGGTCATGAGCAACGTTGATCTTCACAGGTCAGTTATATATGTCAGTGACCTTGTTATCTTTGATCTATGTCAGGTATTTTATCTTTGATCTTTACATTACGGGTCAGTTATATATGTCAGTGACCTTGATATTTTATCTTTGATCTTTACGGGTCAGTTATATATGTCAGTGACCTTGATATTTTAACTTTGATCTTTACGGGTCAGTTATATATGTCAGTGACCTTGATATTTTAACGTTGATCTTTACGGGTCGACCGTTTATGACGTCCAGTGTTTCTGTTTCAGCGTCAATGCCATGACGTACGGGAGGACGCTGTTATTTCAGTTGGTTCTTATTCGGTTCCTGGTGTGCAAAGGTAACGATATACCTTTATACCTTTCATTTTTGTAAATACCTTTAAGTGCAAGCATGATCTTTTGTCATAAATAGTTTATACATGACATAACAAATTCCTAATTCCTTCAAATGACCCCCACCCCTTTACAAAAGATATAAAGAACACATTCAACGAGCGATAAGGGTATATTAATATTGAAGTTTTTGAACTTTGTGAGTCGTTTGTTCCTTCGGGTGTCTCTAAAACTGCTTTCTGTTTTCAAGTGTGTTTGTACAGCCATGTAAAGATGCAAAGAATGTTATTTCCATCATGACTGGGGCGGTAGGGTAGCCTAGTGGTTTAAGCGTTCGCTCGTCCCGCCGAAGTCCCAGGTTCGATCCCCCACACGGGCACAATGTGTGAAGCCCATTTCTGGTGTCCCCATCGTGATATTGCTAGATTATTGCTAAAAGCGGCGTAACACTAATCTCACTCACTTACTCCTCTGGGTTCCGAGGCTTCTAGTCTTTCACTCACTCTGATGAAGGAACAAGCATATACTCCGAAACGTCGTGTTATTCACAATAAAGAAGTTGACATCCATAAATCTTGTTTTTTCTTATGTATTCCACTTCTAAATGCCCTTCAAAGATTTTCACTCACTCTTGCCATCATGTAGGGATCCGGATAAAACTATGTATTTGTTTGTAGAAGCACCAGAAATCTCATCCTCTGAATTCTACACGTCAGGTCAGACATGCAGCTTCAAGGAGACGGCGGGAAAGAAGGGGATGGAAAGCCTGTGGATTACCTCCGGGAATATGACGGCAGACGTGGATGGCTGCAAGACCCTGTGTAGCACAACGGAGCTGTGTATAGCAGGGGAGTTCCACTCCACCACCAAGACGTGTCACATGTACAGCCTGGAGACAAGTCTCACTGCTCAAGCTGACATAGTGTTCTTTCAGTGGAATATTGATACAGGAACGGGTGAGTATTTATATACTAGGCACATAAAAAAACTGTGCATACAAAAATTTAAAATCTAAGACACATAAGGATTTAAACTCAGAGATTAGTGACATGTATCCAACATGCATGCACGTGCCACGTTCCGTGACGGCAGTGGGTTCGTCCTTGAGACGTGCAAAACGTTGTTGCACGTGCATTCCGGGAAAGAGAAACAGAACAAATGAATGTCACACAATACTGTCACTTTGGAAAGCCCTTGCGATCGTTCAAAACATTAAACGGCTATTGAAACGCATAGCATGCCAAGGCTCACGTCTGCACAACGTCATGAGGCCATCGGGATGGTCCGTGGTGGAATGTCTCAACGACAAGTGGCTGCACATTTCCACTGCCACCGAAACACCATTTCTGCACTGGTGAGACGCTACCAGAACACAAATGACGTCATCGATCGGCCACGTTCGGGACGTCCACGTGTAACAACGCCAAGACAGGACAGATGGATAAGGGTGACCCATCTTCGCCACAGGTTTCAGACTGCAGTGATGACTGCCCGAACCATCCCAGGACTTCGCCGTATCCACCCCAACACAGTTCGACAACGTTTACGTCATCACGGGATCAGACCACGACGTCCCGCCATACGGCCTATCCTGACACAACGTCATTGACAAGCTCGCCGAATATGGTGCCGAAATCATATCCGCAGACCCTTGTTTTGGTGGAGAAATGTTGTTTTTACAGATGAGTCCAGGTTTAACATTTCCTATAGTGATGGACGTCAACGTGCCTATAGACGCGTGGAAGAACGTTATGCACAGGCCTGTGTCTTGGAGAGGAATCGCTTTGGTGGTGGTTCCGTGATGATTTGGGGTGGAATAACAGCACGACAAAGAACTCCTTTGGTGATTGTTCAGGGCAACTTAACTGGTGTGGGCTACAGGGATCAGATTCTTCGACCTGTGGCAATTCCTTTTCTGCAACGTCATGGCCCTGGGTTAACATTCCAACAGGACAATGCTAGCCCTCATACGGCAAGGGTTGCTAGGGATTTCTTGCAACACCACAACGTTGACTTACTGCCTTGGCATGCAAATTCACCGGGATCTCTCCCCGATAGAGCATGTTTGGGACGAGATGGTCTGACGTCTACGCCGTCTTCCTCATCCGCCAGATAACGTCCTTGTCCTTGCAACAGACCTTGAGAGAATCTGGCGTGACATCCCACAAGCCTTCCTTGCACGTTTGATAGGCTCTATGCGTCGATGCACTGCTGTTCTCAATGCCGATGGTGGACATACCCGTTATTGAGCTTGTGACATGGTCGTTTGACCCCTGTCCCGCTCGTGGACTCGTGACGTCATTGTACTTGACTTTTCAATTGAAATTCTCCCGACTTGTTATGGTCTCATGATCCCTCCATTAAAGTTTAAATGAACCTTAGACATTGTTATCGTACTTATCAACTGGGATAATATTTTGACAATGCACAGTTTCTTTATGTGTTTAGTATAGAAACTATTTCTTTATAAATAAGTAGAATATATTAAATATACACATCACACTTACTACATTCTTAAGTTTTAAAAACCGTTTCATACTAAAAGTACATTAGGAAAATATGTATTAAAACTATTCTCGCTTCCTCGATACTTCAAATAGCAGGAAAATAGGAAAATGTGAATTCTGGGATTTGGGCGATCTGGGATTTGGTCGATCTCACTTTATCATGGTTTGAAAGAAATGTTCGTTCCGGGACATTACAACTGATCATACTAACTTAAATGTGTTTGCAAAGCATTTTTCTTTACTTGTAAGCAATGGAATCTGTGCACTTCATTAATTAATCAAATTAAAACTTACCCACTGAGCCTTTGTGTCCTGGCTGTTTAATTTAGAAGCCAATAATGTACTACAATTTGTACACGTACTAAGAAAGTGTTATTGTTTAATTTAGAAGCCAATACTGTACTACAATTTGTACACGTACTAAGAAAGTGTTATTGTTTAATTTAGAAGCCAATAATGTACTACAATTTGTACACGTCCTAAGAAAGTGTTATTGTTTAATTTAGAAGCCAATAATGTACTACAATTTGTACACGTACTCAGAAAGTGTTATTGTTTAATTTAGAAGCCAATGATGTACTACAATTTGTACACGTACTACGAAAGTGTTATTGTTTAATTTAGAAGCCAATAATGTACTACAATTTGTACACGTACTAAGAAAGTGTTATTGTTTAATTTAGAAGCCAATAATGTACTACAATTTGTACACGTACTAAGAAAGTGTTATTGTTTAATTTAGAAGCCAATAATGTACTACAATTTGTACACGTACTAAGAAAGTGTTATTGTTTAATTTAGAAGCCAATGATGTAATACAATTTGTACACGTACTAAGAAAGTGTTATTGTTTAATTTAGAAGCCAATGACAATTTGTACACGTACTAAGAAAGTGTTATTGTTATTGTTTAATTTAGAACCACGTACTACAGAACGTAGTGTTATTGTTTAATTTAGAAGCCAATGATGTACTACAATTTGTACACGTACTACGAAAGTGTTATTGTTTAATTGTTTAATTTAGAAGCCAATGATGTACTACAATTTGTACACGTACTACGAAAGTGTTATTGTTTAATTTAGAAGCCAATGATGTACTACAATTTGTACACGTACTAAGAAAGTGTTATTGTTTAATTTAGAAGCCAATAATGTACTACAATTTGTACACGTACTAAGAAAGTGTTATTGTTTAATTTAGAAGCCAATAATGTACTACAATTTGTACACGTACTACGAAAGTGTTATTGTTTAATTTAGAAGCCAATAATGTACTACAATTTGTACACGTACTACGAAAGTGTTATTGTTTAATTTAGAAGCCAATAATGTACTACAATTTGTACACGTAGTAAGAAAGTGTTATTGTTTAATTTAGAAGCCAATGATGTACTACAATTTGTACACGTACTACGAAAGTGTTATTGTTTAATTTAGAAGCCAATGATGTACTACTATTTGTACACGTACTTAGAAAGTGTTATTGTTTAATTTAGAAATCAATAATGTACTACAATTTGTACACGTACTACGAAAGTGTTATTGTTTAATTTAGAAGCCAATAATGTACTACAATTTGTACACGTACTACGAAAGTGTTATTGTTTAATTTAGAAGCCAATAATGTACTACAATTTGTACACGTACTACGAAAGTGTTATTGTTTAATTTAGAAGCCAATAATGTACTACAATTTGTACACGTACTACGAAAGTGTTATTGTTTAATTTAGAACCCAATAATGTACTACAATTTGTACACGTAGTAAGAAAGTGTTATTGTTTAATTTAGAAGCCAATGATGTACTACAATTTGTACACGTACTAAGAAAGTGTTATTGTTTAATTTAGAAGCCAATGATGTACTACAATTTGTAACGTACTACGAAAGTGTTATTGTTTAATTCAGAAATCAATAATGTACTACAATTTGTACACGTACTAAGAAAGTGTTATTGCTTAATTTAGAAGCCAATAATGTACTACAATTTGTAACGTACTAAGAAAGTGTTATTGCTTAATTTAGATCCCAATAATGTACTACAATTTGTAACGTACTAAGAAAGTGTTATTGTTTAATTTAGAAGCCAATAATGTACTACAATTTGTAACGTTCTAAGAAAGTGTTATTGTTTAATTTAGAAGCCAATAATGTACTACAATTTGTAACGTACTAAGAAAGTGTTATTGTTTAATTTAGAAGCCAATAATGTACTACAATTTGTAACGTACTAAGAAAGTGTTATTGTTTAATTTAGAAGCCAATAATGTACTACAATTTGTACACGTACTAAGAAAGTGTTATTGTTTGATTTAGAAGCCAATAATGAGCTACAATTTGTAACGTACTAAGAAAGTGTTATTGTTTAATTTAGAAGCCAATAATGTACTACAATTTGTACACGTACTACGAAAGTGTTATTGTTTAATTTAGATCCCAATAATGTACTACAATTTGTAACGTACTACGAAAGTGTTATTGTTTAATTTAGAAGCCAATAATGTACTACAATTTGTAACGTACTAAGAAAGTGTTATTGTTTAATTTAGATCCCAATAATGTACTACAATTTGTAACGTACTAAGAAAGTGTTATTGTTTAATTTAGAAGCCAATAATGTACTACAATTTGTACACGTACTAAGAAAGTGTTATTGTTTAATTTAGATCCCAATAATGTACTACAATTTGTAACGTTCTAAGAAAGTGTTATTGTTTGATTTAGATCCCAATAATGTACTACAATTTGTAACGTACTAAGAAAGTGTTATTGTTTGATTTAGAAGCCAATAATGTACTACAATTTGTAACGTACTAAGAAAGTGTTATTGTTTGATTTAGAAGCCAATAATGTACTACAATTTGTACACGTACTAAGAAAGTGTTATTGTTTGATTTAGAAGCCAATAATGTACTACAATTTGTAACGTACTAAGAAAGTGTTATTGTTTAATTTAGAAACCAATAATGTACTACAATTTGTAACGTACTACGAAAGTGTTATTGTTTGATTTAGATCCCAATAATGTACTACAATTTGTAACGTACTACGAAAGTGTTATTGTTTAATTTAGAAGCCAATAATGTACTACAATTTGTAACGTACTACGAAAGTGTTATTGTTTAATTTAGAAGCCAAAAATGTACTACAATTTGTAACGTACTACGAAAGTGTTATTGTTTAATTTAGATCCCAATAATGTACTACAATTTGTAACGTACTAAGAAAGTGTTATTGTTTAATTTAGAAGCCAATAATGTACTACAAATTGTAACGTACTACGAAAGTGTTATTCCAAATATAACACTTATTACATTTTAGCGTTTTCTGAAAGCCGTTTGGAAACAATATCCTTGGAAATCAATTACAAAGTCTTAAAAATCTCCAGTGGATGTTTATAACCTTTGATAATACTTTCTATAAAAAGGGAATAGGCTTTGTATGACATTTATCAACGTTATAGAGCAAGAGAGGTATATAGTATCAATACAAGTTTAAGGTAGAGATTATATAGCTGAATAGCGGGGAGCGATTTCAGGGAGAGGAAAAGCCGGTCATGTACACATAAATGTGGACAAGAGGAATACGACTGATTGGAATCTTTGATGATGCATTTTTCTCTCAGCATTTTAGGCTTAGGCCTTTTTTTAAATTACTTGGTTTACGGATTTTGAAAAACAAGTATTAGGTCGGTAGGGAGAAAAAAAAAGAACAAAGAAAGAAAAAGGGAATATGGAGATGTTATTTGCACACTTGAGTATATCATATATTACTTGACTGACTTAGTCCTCTTTACTCCTTGAGGAGCATAGGGCCTCAACAGTTGTCGTCCACGCTTGCCGGTGATATAAATCAAAGTCTAAACTCATCATAAGGAACGATTTGCTGTTGGAGATCGTGAATAGTGCGACTTTGTTCTAAATGTACTTAGTGTTTAAAATAGTCACAAAATTCACCCATATCTGTAGGGCCGCTACACGTACATTTTCATAAACAACACACTAATGTTTGACGGCTATGATCAAGTGTTTTGGCAAAGGTGAAACCCATGTGTGTTTTGTACTTCTGTACATTAGTTAAAAAATGTATTATTTATATATTTTATATTTAAATATTCAAGACTAGAATATTGTTTATTGTTTAACGCCACACTCAGTAACGTTCCAACTTAATGACAGAGGTCTGGACTAGAAATACCAGTGATTGACTTTGGGATACGATTACATGCATCAAGCTAGTTAACGAGCATGATGACCCGACCCAGTTACTCGACAAGCATGGGCTGGGGTAGTCTATCTCACAGTGGAGATTTCCCCAGGTTCACCCAGCTCCCTGGGGCTCCTTTTCAGTCTACATGGGTTTATTAGTTAATTATCAAAATTGTATATATTCAGGGACTAAGCGTTATTCTACGGTTGGGGCAGAACATTCTAACTTGGATCTTCATTGCCATTAGGCTTAGGTGACATGTAAAGTTTGCTCATCTAGGAATCAGTCCTACAACCACCTGTGATCGTCGTTCGGAACACCTCGTAATAACGTTTTCGGGGCTGCGTGATTAGAAAACACATTCCGACTGTGAGTTTCCTGATCGGATGGGCGAGGTTTCGATTGGTCGGATCTAAGATTGTTCTGAGGGGCCCGTAATGGGATGTCACAAGATATTTGCTTAGCCGTAGCGAGAATTCAGATTTAAGATTCTTTTCTTCTGTCTGGCTGTCCATTCCTCGCTACCTCTATTGTCCCGATAGCTCGAAGTTATAAAACGTTCGAGAGACCGGGCTTCAGGGGCGGATACAGCTTTTTGAGAAAGGGGGGTGCACAGTATTGAGAAAAGGAGGGGTGCACACTTCATTTTCACCCGAGTTTCAATGGTCATTTAACAAACTTTCAGCACAAGTGGGGTGGGGGTGCGCACACCCACCCCCACCCCGGATCCGCCTATGGGCTTGATCCTGACGAGTGCCTCCGTGATCACTGAATTGCTATCTTACCGCCACCATATTGTGTGATATTCCCATGTCCAAAGTTTCAGACGATGGTTCAACCCCTGTAGCCGCTATAGTAGTTGGTGTCATCATCTGTGTGGCTGCTGTTTGTGGAGCGGTTATCGTAGTGGTCGTACTCTGGAAAAGATCAAAAAAAGAGGTTAGTAAATCCACCCTAGAACCAGGGCACAAAGAAGCAAGTGTCCCATTGGTCCCTTCTAGTCGTCTTTTATAGATAATCACAAAATGTACAGTTTTCACCTCAAGGTTGGAACGCTGAAACCTAAAACGTCAACGTCAATGTCTACGTCAGTGCACTCTATTTGATGTATGCGACGTCACCCTCCTCGAACAAAGATACAATTATATTTTGATCACTCGTGGAACGCTATGTTGTCATACAACGTCCTCAGAATCACAGGGGCGGTGGGGTAGCCTAGTGGTTAAAGCGTTCGCTCGCACGCCGAAGACCCGGGTTCGATTCCCCACATGGGTACAATGTGTGAAACCCATTTCTGGTGTCCCGCGCCGTGATATTGCTGGAATATTGCTAAAAGCGGCGTGAAACTAAACTCACTCACTCAGAATCACTTCAGTTTCAGTATCCCTAATTATTTTCCAGCAAAGCCGTAACCGAACTTCAAGAAAAAGCGAAGGCTAACCAAGACGATGACACTGAAACACACTCGCTTACAGAGGACAAGGAACACCATAAAGATAATTGAGGAGAAATCGACAGTCGCGTTTTTTCTCAAGAAAATGAAAAATGTTTAGAGTACAGCAAACAACTGTTATATCGAACTTAAAAGAACCACTATTTATATTTCGCGATAACCGAAGTTCGTTATACCCATTTCGACAGCTAATGGCCGACCTGCCGTTGTACAAAGCGATGTTAGTGCTAAGGTGATCGTAATTCCCATACGATAACACAGACTTAAGACTGGCGTAGCGCTAAGGTTACTTTGTACAATGACATCCTGGATTAAGACATAGTTTGTTATATACGTCAGTTCGTTATAAGCGTGTTCATTGTGTATGTACTGTACTGTATATGTAATAATAATGTTTGTATAACAAAATAAAAATATGGACAATCTCAAGTTTTCTTTTCTTGGCTAATGTCTGCCAAGCTGAGAGTCTGTTGGTGTTGGTGATGTTGGCTAGGAATGTAGTAAGCTGCGAAGCACACAGTCGTGTCTTTTGATTGGCTAAGCTGTCTGTAAACTGGGGAGTCAAACAAAGGAACCCAGACGGAGCAAACAAACAATGTGCGTACTTGATTTTTTTTGCGGTTTGAATCCTTATGATGGGAAATGGGTGTTTGTTCTGTGTGTGATGTATGTTGCTATTTCGATTCATATTCCAGATTTTGGTGGTTCTTCATATCAAATATAACTACAGTTTTCTCAATTGTTAGTTACGAAAAGTAAACGCGGTATTGTTATTTGCTACTGTTAATTACTCCTTATGAAAGTCACGTAAAGTTCCGGGTTAGAATTGGTCTTCAGTAACCCATGCGTTTAGTAAGAGGCGACTAACGGGATCGGGTGGTCAGGCTCGCTGACTTGATTTGACACATGTCATCGTATCCCATTAGCGTAGGGTTTTGCTCATGCTGTTGATCACTGGATTGTCTGGTCCAGGCCCCCACCACATAGCTGCAATATTGCTGAGTGTGTCGTTGAACAACAAACCTAGCAACCGACCGTATGAAATATGTTGCATTCAGAGGGCCTATTATAAAAATGTCATCAAATGTACGGTGGTTCTTGATACGTACAATAAGCGAGATATTATTGATTGAAAATAGTCATCTTCATTCTCCTATATTTGAAATGTATCTCGAATTTCCTCTTAGTTTGAACAACCTCCCATCTAATCAGAATAAATCAATATGTATTCTGATCTGAGATTGTGGTTGATAGTTATGCCTTGTTTAAATGACCTCTAACAAGGGCTTTTCGCCTGAGATCTTTATCGTTACCTGTATGGGTACATCATAACCCACATGGAGAAAATAATGTTGTAAAATGAGAACTGAATACACGTTTTAACTTGTAATTTTGTTTTATGTTTGTTTAAGGGCAAATCAAATATACGGCCACATTCAAGCTGTTCGTCATCCTTAAAATAATCGAGAGTGTGGTAAGAGACATTTTTCGAACTTACGTCTCATTTACTTAAGACCCGTGAAGATCCGGGTTAGAATTGATCTTCAGTAACCCATGCTTGTCGTAAGATGCGGCTAACGGGAACGTGTGGTCAGGGTCGCTGACTTGGTTGACACATGTCATCGTATCCCGATCTCGTTAGTCGCCTCTTACGACAAGCATGGGTTACTGAAGATCAGTATTCTAACCCGGACCTTCACGGGCATGTACATTATACAGGCACATATCATACGTGTTAATGCAATTCTTATAAATGTCAAAAGGGAAATAACATTATGCATTATTAGATGGCACTCTGCACCTCCATGGACCAAATTTGTAAGTGAAACCGGAATGTAACTTCGATTATTCGATTAAGCTTCTTGAGTGTTGAGGACCGCCTCCGTGGTGTAGTGGTTAGAGCGTCCGCCCGGAGAGCGGAAGGTCGCGGGTTCGATCCCCGACCGCGTCATACCAAAAAGACGTTAAAATATGGTACTCGTTGGTCCCTGTCTGGCGCTCGGCATTAATGGGTACAACAAGGACTGGTCGGCTCGGAGTCAGTATAATGTGTCTGAGTGGGGTATTCATGCTTCACTGCGGCATGGTATCTCAGTGGGCTAGCACTATAAAACCAGCTTAAATCTGGGCTAGTACAAGCAGCCGCACATACACATACACATGCATGCACGTCGTCATATGAGCGAAATATTCTCAAGCACGACGTAAAACCCAATTTCACCTCACCTCACTTGAGTGTCGAGTTGATGATAAATACAAATCTGGAAAGCTTTTTTAAGACTGACAATTTTTTAGACGTAAATAATGATTGAAAAGTAATATACAAATTCGGACACGTATTGAATTTATGGGGAATATAAAGTCTCGTTCGACAGCAAATGCCTTATATCTAAAAATATAGTGAAATTCGTCAGCAATCGCTGGGCTTTTACAAAGTTGGCAAAGTTCTCTTGGTGTATTAGTCCACCTTCCAGTTTCAACAGGTAGATTGTGATTACAAGATCTGACCGCAGGATTGGGATAGAAACAGAGCTGGGTAATAAAAGGTATTTTTCAAAAGATGGATAATTGTTTCAGGTATTGGTAATAAGAAGCTTTTGGACTGTTACGAACACTAACTTGCCAACTTTGGTAAAATGGATCTTTCAATAGTCTCCATGGTATGCCGGATATCCGAATTTGGTTCCAATCCGTGTCAAGACTCAGTTCCCGAGGTACAGTTCCATTACAAACCTGGAGAGTTGGAGAGTTGTGAGTATATAGGGAAGTGGGTAGGTGGGGAGATGGGGGATTTACGGGGTTGAGGATCTGGGTAGTTGGGGAGGTGGGAACATGGGGATGTGGGTAGTTGGGGAGGTGGGAACATGGGGATGTGGGTAGTTGGGGAGGTGGGAACATGGGGATGTGGGTAGTTGGGGAGGTGGGAACATGGGGATGTGGGTAGTTGGGAGGTGGGAACATGGGGATGTGGGTAGTTGGGGAGGTGGGAACATGGGGATGTGGGTAGTTGGGGATGGAACAGGTAGTTGGGGAGGTGGGAACATGGGGATGTGGGTAGTTGGGGAGGTGGGAACATGGGGATGTGGGTAGTTGGGGAGGTGGGGATATGGGGATGTGGGTAGTTGGGGAGGTGGGAACATGGGGATGTGGGTAGTTGGGGAGGTGGGAACATGGGGATGTGGGTAGTTGGGGAGGTGGGAACATGGGGATGTGGGTAGTTGGGGAGGTGGGAACATGGGGATGTGGGTAGTTGGGGAGGTGGGAACATGGGGATGTGGGTAGTTGGGGATGTGGGTAGTTGGGGATGTGGGTAGTTGGGGGGATGTGGGTAGTTGGGGATGTGGGTAGTTGGGGAGGTGGGTAGTTGGGGGGAGTTGGTGGGTTGGGGAGGTGGGAAGATGGGGATGTGGGTAGTTGGGGAGGTGGGAGAGATGGGGATGTGGGGGAGTTGGGGAGGTGGGTAGTTGGGGAGGTGGGAACATGGGGGGATGTGGGTAGTTGGGAGGTGGTGTTGAACATGGGGATGTGTGGTAGTTGGGGAGGTGGGGACATGGGAACATGGGGATGTGGGTAGTTGGGGAAGGTGGGGGGGACATGGGGATGTGGGTAGTTGGGATGGGAGGTGGGAAGGTGGGGATGGGGATGTGGAGTAGGGGGGGGGGAGGTGGGTAGTTGGGGAGGTGGGAACATGGGGAGTGGGGTAGTTGGGGAGGTGGGTAGTTGGGGATGTGGGTAGTTGGGGAGGGTGGGAACATGGGGAGGTGGGTAGTTGGGGAGGTGGGAACATGGGGATGTGGGTAGTTAGGGGATGTGGGTAGGGAGTGGGGAGTTGGGGAGGGGAAACATGGGGATGTGGGTAGTTGGGGAGGTGGGAACATGGGGATGTGGGTAGTTGGGAGAGGTGTGGAAACATGGGGATGTGGGTAGTTGGGGATGTGGGGAACATGGGATGTGGGTAGTTGGGGATGTGGGTAGTTGGGGAGGTAGGGAACATGGGGGGATGTGGGTAGTTGGGAAAGGTGGGAACATGGGGATGTGGGTAGTTGGGGAGAGTGGGAACATGGGGATGTGTGGTAGTTGGGGAGGTGGGAACATGGGGATGTGGGTAGTTGGGGAGGTGGGAACATGGGGATGTGGGTAGTTGGGGAGGTGGGAACATGGGGATGTGGGTAGTTGGGGAGGTGGGAACATGGGGATGTGGGTAGTTGGGGAGTGGGTTGGGGAGGTTGGAACATGGGGATGTGGGTAGTTGGGGATGTGGGTAGTTGTGGAGAGTGGGAACATGGGGATGTGGGTAGTTGGGGAGGTGGGAAACATGGGGATGTAGGTAGTTGTGGAGAAGTGGGAACATGGGGATGTGGGTAGTTGGGGAGGTGGGAACATGGGGATGTGGGTAGTTAGGGGAGTTGGGAAGTGGGAACATGGGATGATGTTGGTAGTTGGGGGGGATGTGGGTAGTTGGGGAGGTGGGAACATGGGGATGTGGGTAGTTGGGGAGGTGGGAACATGGGGATGTGGGAAGTTGGGGAGGTTAGGAGATGGGGATGTGGGTAGTTGGGAAAGGTGGGAACATGGGGATGTGGGTAGTTGGGAAGAGGTGGGAACATGGGGATGTTAGGGGATAGTTGTGGAAGAGTGGGGAAGATGGGGATGTGGGTAGTTGGGAAAGGTAGGAACATGGGGATGTGGTAGTTGGGGATTGGGTAGGAGGAGGTAGGAACATGGGGATGTGTGTAGTTGGGGAGGTGGAGGTAGTTGGGGAGATGAGGGAGGGGATGGGAACATGGGGATGTGTGTAGTTGGGGAGAGTGTGAACATGGGGATGTGGGTAGTTGGGAGATGTGGAGTTTGGGGATGTGGGGTTGTGGGTAGTGGGGATGTTGGTAGTTGGGGAGGTGGAACATGGGGATGTGGGTAGTTGGGGAGGTAGGAACATGTGGGATGTAGGGAGTAGTTGTGGAGGGATATGGGAACATGGGGATGTGGGTAGTTGTGGAGGTGGAGAAGATAGGGATGTGGGTAGTTGGGAAAGTTGGAACATGGGGAGGTGGGTAGTTGGGGAGTTGGGAACATGGGGAGGAATTAGGTAGTTAGGGATGTGGGTTGTTGTTAGGGGATGTAGGTATTTAGGAAGGTGGGAACATTGGGGATGTGGGTAGTTGAGAAGAGTGGGGAACATGGGGATGTTAGAAGTTAGGGAGGTGGGAAGATGAGGATGTGGGTAGATGGGGAGGTGGGAACATGGGAATGTGTGTAGTTAGGGATGTGGGTAGTTGTGGAGGTTAGGGAACATTGGGCGATGTGGGTAGTTAGGGGAGGTGGGTAGTCTTGGATGTGGGTAGTTGGGGATGTGGGTATTTAGGGATGTGGGTAGTTGGGAGAGTGGGAACATGGGGATGTGGGTAGTTGGGGAGGTGTGAACATAGGGTTGTGGGTAGTTGGGAAGAGGTGGGAACATGGGGGATGTGGGTAGTTGGGAGATGTGATGTGGGTAGTTGGGGAGGTGGGTAGTTGGGAAGGTGTGGGATGGGGATGTAGGTAGTTGGGAGGTGGGAACATGGGGATGTGGGTAGTTGGGGGGAGGTGGGAACATGGGGATGTGGGTAGTTGGGGAGGTGGGAACATAGGGATGTAAGTTTAGGGATATGGGGAGGGGGATGAGAGGAACATGGGGATGTGTGTAGTTAGGGAGAGGTGGGAACATAGGGATGTGGGTAGTTGGGGAGGTAGGAACATGGGGATGTGGGTAGTTAGGGAGGTGGGAACATAGGGATGTGTGGGTAGTTGTGGAGGTGGGGACATGGGGATGTGGGTAGTTGAGGAGGTGTGGGAACATGGGGATGTGGGTAGTTGGGAAGAGGTGGGAACATGAAGGGATGTGAGTTGGGTGATGTGGGGAAGTTGGGGGAGGTGGGAACATGGGGATGTGGGTAGTTGGGAAAGGTGGGAACATGGGGATGTGGGTAGTTGGGGAGGTGGGAACATATGGGGATGTGGGTAGTTGTGGAGGTGGGGAGATGGGGATGTGGGTAGTTAGAGATGGGAGGTGGGGAAGATGGGGATGTGGGTGGTTGGGGAAGAGTGGGAACAAAAGAGGGGATGTGGGTAGTTGGGGAGGTAGGAACATGGGGATGTGTGTGTGTAGTTGGGGAGGTGGGGAGATGGGGATCTGGGGTAGTTGGAGATGTGGGTAGTTGGGGATGTGGGTAGTTGGGGAGGTTAGGGAACATGGGGATGTGGGTAGTTGGGGGGAGGTGGGAACACATGGGGTTGTGGGTAGTTGGGGATGTAGGAACATGGGGATGTAGGTAGTTAGGGATGTTGGAACATATAGGGATGTAGGTAGTTGGGGATGTGGGAATTTGGAGATGTGGGTAGTTAGGGGGATAGGGGATGTGGGTAGTTAGGGGATGTGGGTAGTTAGGGATGTGGGTA